TTTTAAATATGCCTGTTGATAGAGAACTTGACCTTTGACCTGCTTTCACGTTTCTGAGCTCTGACGAGATACCTTTTCACAATGCTTTACTTTTTCAAGGCCCGTGCTGATTTATTTTTACAAGGCCTGAGGCCTATATCGGGTAAAGGCCCTTTTATGTGAAGGTTTTACTATTTAAATTGTTGGTCGGACGTTGAGTCCTGACCTGGAATTTGAGGTCCTTGCCCAATGAATTCCAGGTTCCTTTCCAGCACAAAAGTGTTCCCCCTACGTGTTGCACACTTACTCCTTGCCCATCGCTGCGCTGTGCCTGAAGTCCAGAGACGCAGCGAGGGCTGAGCGGCTTATCCTTTAGCCGTTCTATATCGTGAAGGAGGCTTCCTTCACGAACATTTCGTTTTCGACACTTGAATGTCGTGCACAACCTGAAACCCACAAAGGGTGGCGCGATTGTGGGTAATGCGTCAAGTGTCGCCATGACAGTCAATCTCGTGAGTACGCATGATTGAATGCTGTGGCATCATACGCACGCGCATTCCTCTTATGCATTTTCGCGCGGATTACATCCTGACGTTCGCATGTATTCCGAGTTTGAGTCCGAACGTTTGCAAAAGGGACTAGGCACATATGTGTGTTTTGAGTTAGTGATACGATTCATTATGTGGCGCGTGGTTAAGTTAAGGTGTCCTAGTCGACCGACATAGGGCCGCGCATGGGAGATCAGCGCCCCATGTGGCAGTTCACGTACGGGTTCGATCTAGGCGTTGACTGCACGTACCCCATATGCTACAGCGTACGAGAAACGCCCTCAGCTGGGTCACCTCCGCGATTGCATGTAAAAGATTTCGCATGTGGTTCAGTAGCTCGGCGAGGATACGCCCACCCAACTGATTGTGACAACTCTCGTGGGTGGAGGTAAGTTGTACCTCGCGAGATCCTATCCTATCCTGTTGTAGGGACTTGATGGCCGGAGCGGCTTCGGCCCTTCTTTCATCCGATGTGTCTCACTAGTCTGCCAATCCTGCATGACGCGGCCGGGAAGGTCTCCTCTACGGAACCGATGCCCGCAATAGCTTCAAACTGGGCCTCAGGATATGTGCCCTGCCCCCAACTGTGCAATGTCATCATCACTGGATGTTGCTCTCCCATTGGCCAAGAGGCCGTGGGTGACATGTAGAGCAGCAGGCCCTTTCCTGAAAAGTGAGGGCCGGATCACACAGGCAGGCTGGCTGCAGACCCTGAAAAATGCAGGCAGGCTAGAGGTCACCCGCCGTGCTGCCCCTGGAGCTCGAGGAAAAATAGGCGGTGGCAGGTGTAGGCCTGTGGGCCCCCTTGCGAGGGCCTGTTTCCCCACACTTTCTTTACCAAAAAAAAAGAAAAAGGGGCTGGTCAGTTCAACGAGTATCTCAAGGTCGTCGCCCTTTTAGAAAGAGAGAGAGGGAGAAAAAAGAGAGGAAGGAGTTTTAAGAGTCGTTAATCTCTTGGGAGAATTTAGGCTACTGAGGGTTGTTAGGCTTTCAAAGCGCAACTCTGCTGGTGTTTCCCAGACCATGCGCTTTTTCCCTTCCTTTCTTGTCTTGCTAAACTGGAAGAGACAGTGAAGTATGCCTTCTAATTAGTTGCTGTTGGATACTATGCAGATTTTCGCCATTGCACTTCTGTGATCCACCACAAGCTCTCCAATACAATTTCTTTCGCCTGAGCTGCATGCATGCCACATCTTCAGGGAATTGGGGTTACCGGCCCAAAATGACTGGAAACACCAGCCAAAAAGAAAAAGAACTGCACCTTCGCCAGTTTGTTTTCTTTTTCTTTGGCGGGCAGCACTTTTCACCTCGGGAAAAAAAAGGAGGCCCAGAGCTGGTGGTGGTTCCTCTCTCTCTCTCTCTCTCTCTCTCTCTCTCTCTCTCTCTCTCTCTCTCTCTCTCTCTCTCTCTCTCTCTCTCCCTTCCCCCCGCCACCCTTCCTTCCCCCCTCCCAGGGTTTTGTCACGTCTACAACCTTTGACTTACATAGTCTTGCTTCAGGTTACACCAACAGCACATGCCTTGTCTCTCCGACAGACTCCCTCCTCTTGATGCTATGGCCTTCTCTCATGCATCACAAGATAAACGAGGGAACTCCATTCTCCTACTCCACAAACGAAGACAACTATCACAGACAAGGGAAGGGGCCCAAGCACTGGAGGAGGCAGTTAGGAACATGCGAGGGTGTATTCCAAGAGATGACATAGAAAGAAGGGCAACTCACTGATCAACACGTGGCTCGCTTCCACGCGAATATAGCACATCAATGATCTTCTTCATGACTGCCCCATGACGGCATGGATGCACTGACAGCTGCTGCATTGCCAAATGTGGATGGTCCTCAACTGTGACCTGAAATAGCATCACCCACAATAGGCCGAACAGAAATGAGCGGTTTCGTAAATCGGGATGGTCTTCAACTGTGACCTGGAATGTGGGAGGAGTCCCGGAGGACGGACTTCAACTGTGTTTCCTGGAATGGGATCATTCAGAACAGCATGAATCTGAAGTTCCTGTGTCATCCGGGTTCTAGTTATCTATCCCGACGATATAACCTACCTCAAAGTAAACAACTGGCCTAGCTCAGTCGGTACACCCCTGAACTGTCAAAGTACAGACCTGAGTTCAAACTCCACTGGAAGCAAATGAGTAAAATACGACAATTCTGAATTACCTGGGGCCGGCCAGTTCGATGATGGTATCTCAAGACCTGTCACCCTTCGAAGAAAAGAAAACAACACCGGTGTCAAATGTGCTGCCGTACTTCAAAAGCATAAAGGGTCATGATCAGTATGTCCATCAAGAACTGTTTGGTACTGTCCCACCCCTCCTCATTCTCCACCGTCCTTAACTCTGTCGGCAGGAAATTTGTTACGAAACTTACGAAAGTGAAAAAAGGTCTACTAACCCCATCTGGGTATAGCGAACATGTTCTTGGCCCCTGCGGGACCAGAAATGCCACCCGAACCCATCATTACCGGTCTGAGTGAGTTCATTGGACGTGTCTGGGGCCCCAACAGACTTTGACAGACCCTAGGACGGGGCTCAGCAAACATGGACCCGCTTATTGTCTACAAGGACTCTGGGCCTGTTTTGCCGCAACATTTTTTCTTTTGGACGTATTTTGAAATCTTTATTGTGGAATCTCTGGTCTTTTTCGAATGTCTTGGTGCCTTCACCGCATGTGCAGTCACCAGCGCCGTGGGGAATTTGCATTGCGTGCATGCTTGACACACATGAGATGCGTCACAAGTATGAATTCTACATTATGCCGTCGAATTCTTCACCACTACATCCATGCGACTTGAGGTAAAGTACGAATTCTACATTATGCCATCAAATTCTTCACCACTATACCCATGCAACTTCCTCTGCTCCTGAGAGCTTCCACAATGAGGCGTATTGAGATCCACTTTCATAAACCACCAGTACCTTTGGAATGTCCCCACCAAACGATACAGATTTCCACCTCGTAACCCTAGTTAGGTATCAACCATAACGGCCACACCAACCGATAAAGATTTCCACCTGGTAACCCTGGTTAGGTATGAACCATACAGATATTGCCTGGCTTGGTACCAAACCAATTTTCGGGACATTCATTAGGAGTCACATTTTCAAAGCGGGCTAAAGATCACTAGTTGTGAACTTCTGGGGCCTCTCTCTACTTTCTCTCTCTGGCTGTCAGAGTGCCCCCTCACCATGCCTGTCTGTCTTGCACTTTTTTCTAAAGGCAGTACACTGTTGCGGTTTCAACCATCACCAACCATCACCAGTACCCTGGGAGGGTCTCCCTTCTTCTAGATGAGGAACAGAAAGTTGCAATATGGCCCCGCATAGGTAAGGTCGGAGGTGCAGATGGTCGCATGCAAATAATAACAGCTACAAACGGTGGAACTTCTACGAAAGACAGAGGGGGCAAAAAGCAAGTTCACTTGATATGGGGAAAAAAGACAGAGGGGGCAAAAAGCAAGTCTTCACTTGATATGGGGAAAAAAGCAAGTCTTCGCTTGATATGACCTTCCCCACTTGGACTGCCAGAAACTGGTTGGTTACCAGGACTACCGTCTTCCCCCGAATAGAACATATAGTCATTATACGTAGACTGAGAGTTGCCCTGAATACAGGGTATAATGGCCATACGTTCTACGTGGGGGAAGACGGGAGCCGGATCTATTGTAAGGCACATCACTTCAGGTCTGGAGGTAGTTGCGGTTTAAACCACCAGTACCAAGCAACACGAGTCATAATAGAACAGTTTAGAACTGTGTTTAGCAGGATTTTCTTCGGGGCAACGTTTTTTTTTTTTTTTTTGTGTGTGTGTGTGAGAGAGAGAGAGAGTGTGTGTATTCCTCTCTATCCTCCCTTTCTGAAAACAGACTCTAGCTCAATGCTGGTACGCCTTTTCTCTATACAACTAAAGCAAGCAAAGGGTCTAGCGTCACGCTCCCACGGAAGACCCGGTGCCCAGTGTTGGGAACGGCGTCGGGGCAAGGGGCGGGCCCACGGGGCACTCGGGGCACTTTTTTTTCCGAAACGCGCGTTTGGGGCAAAGTCGGTGGTCGGGTGGAGCGGGTCGGGGCACTTTTTTTTCCGAAACACGCATTTGGGGCAAAGTCGGCAGTCGGGTGGAGCAGGCCCACGGGGAACTGGCCGAGAAGGCCCTCGCCGGCGGGAATAAGGGCACGGCGTTTCGCGGCGGCACAAGGAGGAGGTCGTGCGAGGGGAAGCGGACGTCGTGCAAAGGGGAGGAGGTCGGAATAGAGGTGGGAGGAGGTCGTGCGAGGTGGATGAGGAGGGGATAGATGACGCGTGAATGGAGGAGGAGGTCGCACAAGGATTAGGAGGTCGCGCGAGGGGAGGAAGTCGCACGAGGGGGAGGAGGGGGTAGCGCGAGGGGTAGGAGGAGGTCGCGCGAGGGGGAGGAGGAGGGCGCACGGAGGTTGCGTTAGGGGGAGGATGAGATCGGAAGACCGAGTGGGAGGGGGAGGAGCAGTTCACACAAGGACAAGCAAGAGGTTGCACAAGGGGGAAGAGGAGGTGGCACAAGGGAGAGGAGGAGGTCGGAAGAGGGGGAGGAGCAGGTCGCACGAGGAGGACGAGGGGTTGCAGCGGAGGTCGCAAGGGAGGTTGGAGGAGGTCGTGCGAGTGGTTTGAGGAGGACGGACGAGGACACATGAGCGGGAGGAGGAGGTGGCGTAAGGAGGAGGAGGAGCTGGATGAGGTCGGAAGAGAGGTGTGAGAAGGTCGCGCGAGGGGGAGGAGGACACCGTGCAAGGGTAGGAGCAGGTCACACGCTGGGGAAGAGGTTGCAGGAGGTCATGCGGCAGGGGAAGGAGGAGGTCGTGCTAGAGGGAGGATTTCGTGCGAGCGGGAGGGGGTCGTGAGGGAGGACGACGACGTCGCGATAGGGCGAGGAGGTTGCAGAAGGGGGCGTGCACGCACACAAGAGAGAGAGAGAGAGAGAGAGAGAGAGAGAGAGAGAGAGAGAGAGAGAGAGAGAGAGAGAGGACTGCCAGATCTTCCTCCAAATTTCGAGAAGGTGCTGTTGGCCTTTTTTGGGGGGGTGGTAATTGGCCAAATACCCCCATAAGTTGGGATATATGTCAAAATGTCCCTGAAAATTGGGCGCTTTTTTTGCAATTGCACCCACCAAAAGTTGGCAACTACCGGGGCATTTTGCAAAGTTGGACGGTGTCTGGTAGGGTACATTGCAAAGATGGGTTCAACCGATGTCTGGGGTGTTTTGCAAAATGCTTTTGCTGTCGTCCTTGACCGCAGCGTAGCTGCGGGGGGTCCACTTGTACTCTCTAATAATTGTTTCATTGCAGCCCAGTGGCTGTTTGACTGCAAACATTTGTATGGTTGTTACCTGGTTGGCCAGCCCATCTGTTTTTTT